CTAAAATGTAAATTTCCATATTCAATTGAACTCAGCAAAACTAGTAAAAATAGTGTTGTCAAAACGTGTTTTGAATTCAGACAAACTTTTTCTTATATTTGAAATAGAAACTAATAGAATTTAATTTTAGTTGCAAGTAGGATTCAACAACATCGCATAAAATTCAGCAATTATTTAGATTAAGTATATAAAGCTTATATCATCTAATATAAATAAGAATATTTGACACTAATGCATAGCAAATATTGACTCTCTCATTAAATGGTGAACATAACATTAATAAATTGAGACTAAGCCACTCTGTAGTCTAACAAGGGGGGACCAAATTCAGGCACTGTGTCGAATCGGATCTTAAAAAGAACCAAATCATTAGCATACTCTTTTCATTTTAGTTCCACATTTAATTGAATCTAAAGTGGTGTGCATCGTTCCACTCCTTTTATTTCCGAGTAAGTATTGTGATTGAACATCTAACGAATTGCCTGTCTTTTTCATTTTCTATTTCCTCTCCCATTGTTCACTAAATCCAATTCTTCCAACGTTCTGATATGTATTAAAGATTATTTTTTGTTTCCACTTTTTATATAAAATTTCTTTAGTGTAGAAATGTTTAATCAATGAATAACTTAAGGATATATCCACATCCCTTTGTTATATCCACATTTCAAATATTTCAATCTTCTGTTTATCTAATTCTTTGATAATTCATGATTTGTCTTCAATGAGTATAGAAATTGTTAAAACTCCCAAACCGTATCTTACAGAAAACTATGATATAAAGTATCTTTTCAAGAAAATCGATCTCAACACAACATACTCAAAAGTAATCTTGTCTATATTTATATAGGAATTTCAAAAAAGTTATCCATATCAAGTATTAACTTCTTACTCCTCATTATAATTTGTATTGAAATCAGTCAAGGTACCCACTTTAATTAGAAATCTAACGACCAGTAAAGACATTTGTAGTTAGCACAAAAGATCATGAGATATATGGAATCTAATATAGAGAATTAACAATAATGAAGATGAATACAGTCAATTAAATAATTTAGCCAAACAACATATATAAGATAAAGCGTCAAACAAAGTAAAGTTTTTCATAAAAAAAAAACAGATATGAACACACCCAAAAATGGGGTTCGGACACCCTAAAAAATGTTTTATTATATTCCATAGTATGTAATACCGGTGACCCGGTATAACTATGTCTCTCTACATATCTATTGATTCTTCTAATAAAATTGCTTCTACAGCCTTCTTATCTCTACCTGAAATAACTAAAAAACTCGCTATTTATTTCATTGCTATATTCATAAACCTTTCATAGTTTTGTAATTATTGGAGAATAATTAGAGTTCGAAGAGTAATCAGAATTATTATATACAGATTTATGTATACAGAGATCTCAATAAATGCGTTTTGATCTCCCTGAAATCACTTTTACTTAGCCCCTAACCTTATTAACCATGGACAGTAAAATTTTATATAATGCATTTCATTAAGTAACAGTAGCTCAAAATATATAATTCCCTAGTAGCTCTCTAATATGTAGTATTACTTTTCTTCTTGTCGTCTCAGATTTGCAAGCTTTTGTGTTTTTTCATTTTTTTTAACTAAGACCATTTTCATACAACATTATCTTATGTGATTCACTTTCAATTATGTGTTACATACTTACTTATATACTTACTTCTTTACTTACTGACTTAGTTGACGATGACAACCGTAGTTATCCTTGGCTTGGTTTAGAAACTTCCTTCAGTTAGCTTGATCAGTTAAACCTGAAAATAAATCTAAATAAGAAAAGCCTGAAAATAAACATATTAAATGACTTATAAATTCAATACAATATTTGAGCAAATAAAGCTAGATGAATATTACTCTACCCATTATTATTATTAAGTTAGAGGATTTCACAGTATGCCTTAAAGAAGTATTCTGGCTTTGAAAATGTTAAGTTAATAAATTCAATATTTTTAACAAGAACTAAGTAACTAAGTACAGAAGTTAGCATTAATATATGCATATTAGTATTGAATTAAATATAGTGAATTAAATAGTGAATTAAATATAGTGCTCTGGAATGCGAATGGGCTGTCAAAACACTGTTTAAAGTTACAAGAATTTTTAAAAGATCAAAAAGTAGACATCATGCTAATATCTGAAACACGTTTTACTTCAAAACATTATTTTAAAGTACCAGGCTATGACTTTTACCACACTATGCATCCCGATGGAACGGCTCATGGGGGAAGTGGCATTTTAGTTAAAACAAATATATTACACTTTGAAATGCAACAATACCGCACTGAAGAGATTCAAGCAACCAGCATATCAGTAAAAGATTGGTGTGGCTCAATCACAATAACATCAGTATACTGTCCACCAAAACACGCAACTAAGACGGCAACATATAAAAAATTCTTTAGAACCTTAGGTAACAGATTTATTGCGGGGGGAGATTTTAATGCTAAACACGTTGAATGGGGCTCTCGGCTTTCAACACCCAAAGGACGACAGATGCTTGCGGCTATAAGAAGCGAAAACCTTTCAACTATCTCGTCTGGAGAACCAACTTATTGGCCCACGGATCCCAAAAAAAATGCCAGACTTGTTAGACTTTTGTGTTACTAAAGGAGTGCGACAAAACGACACTTTCTGTAAATCTAGCTTTGATCTTTCATCAGATCACTCGCCAGTATTATTACGGATAAAATCGAATATACAACTTAAAGTTCAAAAATGTTATCTGCACAACAAATTAACCAACTGGGATGCCTTTAGGCATACACTTAAGGCATTACTTGATGAAAAAATGGCGCTTAAAACAGACGAAGAAATTGCGCTTGCAACCGAACATCTTATAAGGAGTATTCAACAATCAGCCTGGAGATCCACGCCTTCAAACATGCAACAATTCGCCACACCATTATGTAGTACGACTCAAGAACTTATAAGAGCCAAAAGAGCAGCCAGAAGGCGCTGGCAACAAACCAAATCTCCGAAAGATAAAAAACTTTTTAATGTGCTGATCAAAAATCTAAAAGAACATCTGAAAACAACCAGAAATTTGGAAATACAAAGAAATCTCCAAAGACTAGACGCAACTACTTCCACCAACTACTCTCTCTGGCGAGCAATCAAGAAACAGACAACAACGCACAATGCACCAGTAAAAAACGAACTAGGGCAATGGGCCCGAACAGATACAGAAAAATGTAAAGTATTTACGGACCATCTGTCTTCAGTTTTTGTTCCAAACATTAATGAAGCCCCAAATAGTATATCTGAAGAGATTAGAGAGGTTTTACTGCAAACGCACCAACTGGACCTTCCAATACAAAAATTCTCCATTTTCGACATAAAATTTGAAATCAAGAAACTAAAAATAAATAAAGCACCCGGCTATGACCTAATTACTTCAAAAATATTAAAGGAGTTACCGGATGAAGCAATAGTACTGCTGCGAAACATTTTTAATTCTATTGTCACAAAAGGCTTTATCCCTCCCCAATTCAAGGTGGCTCAAATCACCATGATACTCAAACCTGGAAAAACGGCAAAAGATGTTAAGTCATATAGACCAATTAGTCTTCTACCGGTTATGTCAAAGTTGTTGGAAAATTTATTTCTTACCAGATTAATGCCCATTGTCAATAGAAGGAGACTAATTCCGGAATATCAATTTGGTTTTAGAAAAAAACACAGTACAATGGAGCAAGTACACAGAGTGGTTAATGTCATACATACAGCATTTGACAAAAAGAAGTACTGCACAGCAGCATTTCTGGACATATCCCAGGCATTTGATAAAGTTTGGCATAACGGCCTATTGTTTAAGCTTAAAAAGATGCTCCCAATTAATTACTATATTTTCTTAAAATCTTACATCGAATCACGATATTTCTTTGTAAAACAGGGGGATGAAATGTCAACTTTGCAGCTAATTCAGGCTGGAGTGCCACAAGGCAGTGTCTTGGGACCAGTGTTATACTTACTCTTCACTAACGACTTGCCTACCACCGTTGGTACTGAGATTGGAACTTTTGCCGATGATACTGTGGTAATTGCTACAGACGAAAATCACCAGTTAGCATCAAACAAACTCCAGCGAGCGCTAGATAACATTTCCCAGTGGCTTAAAACCTGGAGAATAAAAACAAATGAGACTAAGTCTTCACAAATAACCTTTACAATGAGAAGGAAAAATTGCCCTCCGGTACGACTTAACGATATCTTAATCCCTCAATCTACCCAAGTGAAATATTTAGGAATACACTTTGACACAAAACTAACTTGGAAGCACCATATTTTTACTAAAAGAAAAGCACTTGGCATCAGACTGCGGGAGCTCTACTGGATACTGAATAAAAGTTCAAAGCTTTCCGTGGAAAATAAACTTCTTATCTACAAAGCGATACTGAAACCAATCTGGACATATGGCATTGAACTCTGGGGAACTGCTGCATCTTCAAATATTGAGATTATCCA